GGGGGGGGGGGGTGGAAAGTGAAACCTAAATGTGCTGCTTGTTTTAGTTATCTGTAGCCAACTCTTAACCAAAGCATTCCTGACTGTTGCTGGCCAGAGGCTAGGTTCCCTAGGCAACCACCCTCAAAAAAGAGCCCAGACCTACCTTCTTCAGGAAAGCAATGTTCTCTGTCCTAAAATCTGGCATCTTCCCTTACACAAAGCAGACTCCCTAAAACCTCACAAATGCCACCACTCCAAAATCAAGGAGTTGAGCAGGTGTTATTCTCCTCACTTCATATGGTCAATCAGAACATTAAGAGTTAGAAGGGATCTCAGAGACCATATAGAGTGACCCTTTTGTTTAATGAATGAGGACAATGAGGCTAAGAAAAGTGAAGTCCTGGATGTGGCAAGTTGGTGACAAGGTTAGGACAAGATCACAGGCCTCCTTATTTCTAGCCCACTAGTCAAAATCTTCCCATTTTTCAGATGGGAAAAATAGGACTGGACCTACTAAGCCACCTACCATATACTATATACTTTACACAGGAAAGAATAGAAACAATAGAGTGTAGAGATCAAGAATGTGGACTCTAGAGTCAGACTGTGTATTCAAATCCCAGCTCCACCACACACACTATGTGAGTTTAAGCAAGTTTCCTAATCTCTCTGTTTCTATAAAATAGGGTTAGGAGTGACTACCTCATATGGTTACATTAAGGACTAGATGTGGGGCGCCTGGGTGGCGCAGTCGGTTAAGCGTCCGACTTCAGCCAGGTCACGATCTCGCGCTCCGTGAGTTCGAGCCCCGCGTCGGGCTCTGGGCTGATGGCTCAGAGCCTGGAGCCTGTTTCTGATTCTGTGTCTCCCTCTCTCTCTGCCCCTCCCCCGTTCATGCTCTGTCTCTCTCTGTCCCAAAAAAATAAATAAACGTTAAAAAAAAAAAAAAAAATTTAAGGACTAGATGAGATAATCTATGTCAAATGCATGGCACATAAAGTGCTCAATGTAGGGGCTCCTGGCTGGCCCAGTTGGGAGGGGATGCAACTTTTGATCTCAGGGTTGTGAGTTCGAGCTCCATGTTGGGTGCAGAGATTACTTAAAAATAAAATATTTACTGGGTGCCTGGGTGGCTCAGTCAGTTGAGCACCCAACTCTTGGTTTTGGCTCCGGTCATGATCCCAGGGTTATGCGACTGAGCCCCGAGTTGGGCTGTGTACTGAGCGTGGAGTCTCTGAGATTCTCTCTCTCCGTCTGCTCCCTTCCCTGACTCGCACGAAAGAAAGAAAGAAAAGAGAGAGAGAGAGAGAGAGAGAGAGAGAGAAAGAATTTTAAACATAAATGAATAAAATAAAAAATAAAGTGCTTAATATATACACTGCTCAGCTTCTCATCATTACCAGTTGTATAAGGAATAACAATCATAATAACAAAAGACACTAGACAAGCTCCTACTTAGGTCCAAGAGCAGTGGGTAAGATACAGGTGTTTATTCAGCTCCATTTCCTGGCCCCAGCCAGGGAACACTCAACCCCTCAGCAGACCATAAATAACCCATCACTCATTCATTTGTTTGGATCTAGGGAACAATCACTTCAGAGAATAACCAGTACATGCTACAGTGTTAAGAACACAGATAAAGGGGTCCCTGGGTGGCTCAGTTGGTTAAGTGTCTGACTTCAGTTCAGGTCATGATCTCATAGTTCATGAGTTCAAGCCCTGCTTCAGGCTCTGTGCAGAGCCTGAAGCTGCTTCAGATTCTGTGTCTCCCTCTCTCTCTTCCCCTCCCCTGCCCTCGCTCTCTCAAAAAATAAATTTAAAATGTTAAAAAAAAAAAAAAAAAAAAAAGCACAAATAAAGCTTCCATAGGTCTGAACCCAAGTGTGACCTTTAGATCTATGCTCACCTCAAGTTGGACAAAATGTGGTTCTTGTCCAGGCTCTCGCCCTCAATCCATAATGGCGGTACAATGTAATGGTTAAGAAACAAGAGCGCTGAATGGGGTGCCTGGCTGGATCAGTCAGTGGCATGCAACTCCTGATCTCAAAGTTGTAAGTTCAAGCCCCATGTGGAGCCTATTTAAGGAAGGAAGGAAGGAAGGAAGGAAGGAAGGAAGGAAGGAAGGAAGGAAGGGCAATGGAGTTTGACTTCCCAGGCACAAATTACTGTTCTGTCATTTATATTTGCTGTGTCACTAAGGCAAATTAACTTCCCTCTTTCTAAGCCTCTGTTTCTCCATCTACTTTTATTACAATAAAATTTGGTGAGCACTTTCTATATGCCAAGTACTGTGCTTTACAGGGCTTACATCATTTAATCGTTACAACCTCATGAAGCAATTACTATTATCATCTTCATCTTACAGAAGAGGAAGAAGAGGCAGTTTTCTCACTCAAGACCACACAGCTAGTTACTGGCAAAGCTGTGAAGTGAGTATAGAAAGTTTGACCCCAGAGTCTATGCTCTTTACTCCTACACTGCTGTACTTCTCAAGGCACCAGACTTCATGTGGTTGCTATGCTGTTAAAATAAGACAATCTACATAAAGTGCCTGGTTCATCAGTTAGACACTACTATTATTGCTGTTGTTATCATCATCAATCCCTTTGAGCCTCTTCAAATAGTACTTCCTGAACTCCAACTTCACCTAAAAGGAAATGGTTGTTTGCCTACGTAGACACCAGCTCACCACGCAGCCTGGGGTGGGGTTCTAGTATTTCACTGCCCTTCTGTAATACAAAAGTAATTACCTGAGTAGAAACACAAGGAAATATTTTCTAAAAACCTGTTACTCTGTAAAACACAATATATTAATGTATTTTTTTAAATAATCATTTTTTTTTTAACGTTTAACCCTAAAGCCCAAACCCAGGACCCTAACATCTTTGTTTTTAAAAATAAAATCTTTATGGGGCTCCTGGGTGATTCAGTTAAGCAACCATCTCTTGGTTTCGGCTCAGGTCACGATCCCACGGTTTGTGAGATAAAGCCCCACGTCGAGCCCTGTGCTGACAGCGTGGAGCCTGCTTGGGATTTTCTTGTCTCCCTCTCTACTCTTCCCCTGCTCACACTCTCTCTCTCTCAAAATAAACAAACATTTAAAAATATATATTAAAAAAAATCTTCACTACTCTCGGTAGAAATGAAACATAAGCGTATTAAAAAGTTTTTTGGGGGTTCCTGAGTAGCTCATCTGGTTAAGCATCTAACTTTGGCTAAG